GGTATTTACTTTGAATCCCTCCAGGAGTCTCGAACTGTCGAAATAAGTAGTCAGTGCTGGTCACATTGGACGAACTTCATATCTGTAAAACATGCCAGTATGATGTACCTTCCGAATGAAGTTATCCAATGTAGTATTGAAGTGACGATCGACAGTCGTGATCTACAAGTATCATTGGTCTTAGATTTTGGTGAATATGCTGATACAATCGAAGATATATTCCACGCCAAAGAACAGTATACGTTCAATGTATCATATGCAGCACCCGGGACATATTTGTTCAACATTACTGTGAAACATTTTGCTGGATCTGCAGTCAAACAGCAAGAACTGGTTATAACAGAAAATACACGCCCCATACTTGCCGATGCCGAGGCGATGAATGGAATTCCGACCTATGTCGACAATCTTCATGTGCCAGGCCTCCACATTTTGGAAAGTGAATTAGTAATGCTTGGAGAAAATTCCATTTTTAAAACATATCTAGTCGACGGTGAATCGACTACGTGCACGTGGGCGTTTGACGATGATCAGATACTTCAAACCACTCATAACATACCTGAATTTGTGACTGTCGGTCATAGCTATAACCAACCTGGCATGTACATCACCAATGTCACGTGTTGTAACATAATTGATTGTTCTGGCAGATCCTACCAGCAGTACGTTAAAGTTCCCCTCATTGAATTTAAACCTACATATCCTTTCATCATTGAATTTGGCCAGACAGCCGAGATAACATGGACTGTACAAGATAATGCTGAAATTAACATGTATATACAACTCGATGGCAGTTCACGTCAAGAAATAAATTACCATACAGGCCGCCATAATATAACATTCGACCAATACGTGTGTCAAGGCAGACACAATGTTTATATGACAGTTCGCAGTCACCCAGAAGATATGTTAATTGTCATTGCATCATTCTTTGCACAAGTGACAATAACAGGTGTCGATCTCAAATTGGAAGTTGAATATGATGAGACTAATTTCAAAAGCTTGATTGGTGAGACAGGAGATATATTGAGAGAGTTAGAAATTGGCAAAAATATCACGATTGTGTTTTCAATACTTGGCGGGAATGACGTTATTCGTGTATGGAACATGGGTGACGAGACAGATAACGTTCCTTGGCAAATCGGTTTATTCGTTGATGGAAATCATACAGACAGTTATGTACATATGTACATAAAGAAAGATATTGTTGAC